TGGGCTATTTCCTGACACGTTATCACTAGAGTGTGTTGAGTCTTTGATTGGGCTATTTCCTGACACGTTATCACGAGAGTGTATTGAGTCTTTGACTGGGCTATTTCCTGACACGTTATCACTAGAGTGTGTTGAGTCTTTGACTGGGCTATTTCCTGACACGTTATCACTAGAGTGTGTTGAGTCTTTGACTGGGCTATTTCCTGGCACGTTATCACTAGAGTGTGTTGAGACAATTGTTGGGTGTTACAATAGACAACAAACTCAACTGGCGTGTCCACACTTTTCTCCTGCATAAAAAAAGTGAACAAAAGACTATTTTTTCCTAAGGAAGCTAAAGTATTTTAAAGTTGATAAAACGTTGATGTCTATGTTCTACCATTCAACCATTGAGAGTAGGCCTACGATCAATTTTCGCATAACAGCATGGGCCGGGAACTCAAGACAACAAGATAAAGAAAAATTAAATCGACTAATACGGAAAGCATGTAAAATTTCAACATCTACATTCCCCTACTTGAATGAATTGTACATTACAGCTTGCACTAAAAAAATTAATTCCATCTTTTTAGACAGCAGACATCCCTTGTTTCCTCAAATAAAAACATCAGTCAGAAGTAAAAGACCGAGGCTTCTGATCTGTAACAAAGAAAGATACAGAAAGATACAGAAGGTCTTTTCTACCATCATCCATCGAAATTCTTCCATCTTTAAACCATCTTGTTATAAGTATCCATATGACCTTAGAGCATGCATCAGAGTAACATTGAGTATGTATCTAGCTTAAGATTATTATTGTTTATATTGCCGCTCATTTATATTATGCTTGTGATTGTAAGTCTGTGTGTGTGTGTGTGTGGTTGTGTGTGCGTGTGTGTGTGTGTGTGTGTGTGTGTGTGTGTGTGTGTGTGTGTGTGTGTCTATGTGTGCGTGTTGGGGAAGGGGGGAAGCATTAGAGTGCATCAGAAAATGATTCAGAGCTACAGAAATATTATTATTATTATACAAACTTGACCATTTTCATCATCAGAAGCATTGTGTTCACTGTTGTATTTTATTTCACGTAAAACAGTATGTCTCGCAAAGCTCCTATGTGTTTGGCATCTCTCAAAGGTGTAACTCTCATGAATTGGAGAAGCAGCCCTTGAGGACCATTTTCTATGTTTGTTGCCCGATATCAAATCTAAGTACACATATAAGTTAGGCATAGTAAAATCTCTTGATACGCAATTTTATTTTGGCTTAGCTACAGCGGTTGCTATGGAAATGACCGCCATCTTGGAAATAAACAATGAATTACAAATCCCTAAGGCTTTCTTATTTAAGGACCAAATTTGACCAAATTTGTCGAGAGTATACCTGAACCAGACCCTATCAGAGTAACAAGAAGCTTTTTTCAATAAGTGCAACAGGGAAGAAATATGAGAATTTTCCCAAAGTATAAAAAAAACGTTTTTTCTAAATTTAGGTTGCGTAATCGCTTGCCAATGGAAAAGTGCTATTATTTTTGCAAATATCTGTCTGTTACATTCATGTCAGCCTTGCCAACTATGTTTCCTGAATGTTCCATGTTAAAAGGAGGAAAACTAAGGAAGGAGTAGGGAAAAAACTGCAAAAAAATTACCTTTTGCGAAAAGCGATAATTATTGTGAAAATTCACTGTACTAACTCATCCTCATGTTTTCAAAGGCAAATTACGAGGAGATTAAAGACTTTCTCAATTGTATCCATACTATTTTTAGACAAAAAACTGGTTGGTCTTCGAAAATCAGCCAACATAAAATTTGCATAGCCTGTCCCAAAATCTGCAAAATCAAGGGTCGCTCCTCCCCTTCACTTTATTTTCTATTGTTCACACTTTGTCCATCAAAGGAAATTGTTAATCCCTCCCAGCCTGACCCCGCCCAGTGACAGAAATATGCAATGTTTGACCCAGGATAAAAGATATATTCACAACCTGTACTCTTTCGTTAAGGAAACTTTGTTTATCAAATGGGTGTTTTGTATGATGTGATGTGGGCCAATGGCCTTAAACACTGAATAAACTTACTTACTATGAGTGCGGCAGAGGGTGTGACAGTGAATGAATGACGGACTAATTGATAAAGAGAGATTGGGGTTGGGGTGAGGG